ATATATATATATATATATATATATATATATATATATATATATATATAAAAATAGATCATGTAGGCAGGGACTCTGATAGGTCTCAGAGCCAGGGGCTCCCCAAGCTCCCACAACCAGGACCAGAGGTAGCTAATAACCCAAATGACCTCTGTGCTGTATTACTGAGACCAGGTAGACCTTCGGGCCCTTAAACTAGTACAGGAAGTCTGTCTCTAGAACCCATCTTCTTGGAAGAAGTGATATGTGCTGTGAGTCAAGTTCTGATGTAATTATGCACTGGGGATTATATTTCACTTATTTTTCCAAACTATACTGGGCTTAAATATGTTGGGAACAAACCGCCTGCTATCAGACTCTTTAGAAGTCTTGATCCAGGCTGATGAAGTCAGTGTGAACTGAGCTTTCACACCTGCAGAGAGCCTTCACACAGGCACAGGGTTGTGCTGAGGCGCACTGAAGGATGGAAGAGCAAGCTGCCAAGACACAGCAGGCTGTGTTGCTCTAAAGACAGCAAGGCGGTGACAAAAGAAAAACTTCAAGAACTAGCAAGTGAGCAAGCGCATGCCAAGGAATGGTGGTAAGAATCACACTTCTTTCGTGGTGAGGACTTTCTCTAAAGCATAGTATTCTGTATGGTTCCTTAAAGCATATCTTAATGAAAAATCTTACCCACTTCACATTTCTTGTCAGTGACAAGGAAAGTATACTTTCACAGCAGAAGAAAACAAGTGCCTAGCTTAGCAGTAACCCTGAGGTCCCCTGCCATGTCTGCCTCTGTGTAGAAGGCAGTCTGGAGTTCATACTACTGACCATGGCATGTGCTTGCAGAAGTATTTCTTGGAACTTAAATAACTGTTGAACTGCTGTTCAGAGACATGAACAGTAGCACTTGGAGGTCTTGCTAGTCACAGGCTTGTGGGCCTCACTCAGAATTCCAGTCATGAATATTAAACTCAGCTCTGTAGATGAGGAATGGGCCCAAGAATTCACCTCCCCAGCATCCACTGCTGCCGTCTAGGGACCACACTCTCAGAAGCATGAACCACTGCCTCAGACCTTTCTGGCAGAAGTGCAGGGTTGAAGACATAACTTAAACACTCACGAAGACACTAGCAAAGAAATTAAGAAGGCAAGAGGGAAACCAGCATGGGTGCTTAGAAGAGACAGAAAGCTGGAAGGAATCGAGAGGCACTCAAAGGGACTACAGAACGCCAGTCAGGTGCACAAAGGATCCTAAACCAAGGTTCAAGCCAAACAGCTGGGTGTGGCAGCACACACTCATCACCCCAGCTATGTAATATGGTGGAGGTCAGCTGGGCTACATGAGACTTTGTTGCAAAAAAAAAAAAAAATCCAATTAAAATTTAAATCTACGTTAAAACAAGGCCAAATGAAGTGTATCAAGGTATGTTACTTGAAATACTTTGACTTGAAACCATTTGGAACTGAGGAGAATTGAGAAGTTGGGATGAGCAAAGTTTAGCTACTCTACGCTATTCAACAAAAAGTAGAAAATAAATGATTCCTTCATGGATGCCCTAGCAGAAAGCACACAAGTTAGTTGTCAGACATGCTTGCCAGCTTACTAGAGACATCCATGCAATGCATCCTATTAGCTAGCCTTCTTCTGACATTAATCTCCAGATACTTGCATTCCCATAGCAGCTCATTTCCTTCTGGCCTCCCACTTCTTTAAAATTATCTTGTTCTTTGTTATAGATTGGATATCGTCTGGAGTGTTAAACAAGTTGCTTAACATTTGTCCATTACATTCCTATCTCATATATGTGATATATCAGCTAACAAACTATTGTTTTTATAACTCTCAAAAAATGTAAAGAAATAACTCGTGGGAACAGAACTAAATACAATTCTTGGAAACAACTGAGAAATTGTGACTGTGGACTGGATATTGTGCAGTTACTGTTGATTCTCTTAGATCTGATGCACCATGTTTATCCCCGGTGAGCACACTGTCAGGTACTGAGAGGCGGTAGGACTGCAGGGCACAGCCATTCAGTCTCCCTCAGTTCCAGAAGAAAAACAGAGAGGCACTAGGGGGATGAAACAGAGCAGGCTAAGAACTGAAGCTGGGTGTGTGGCCTCTGCTTCTGATCCAGCACTTGGAAGGGAGTCAGAGTTCAAGACCAACCTGGGCCACACAGTGTGACTTTTTCTTAAAACAAAACCAGAAAATTGGTTGACTCTCAGCACAGGTATAAAAGTATTCATTACTTCAGTCTTCTCTCAGCTTTTCTTTGTGTTAGACAGTTTTCCTGATGAAAAGTTGAACAGAGGAGCTGGTGGTGTGCCTCAGTTAGTAGGTCCTTGCTTAACACACTTGGGTTCAGTCCCCAGCATATGAGAACAGGCGTGGCGTGCAGATCTGCAACCCCAGCATCTGGGAAACGGAGGTGGACAATCAAAAGTTCCAGGCTTCCTCAGCTACAGTGTGTCTGAGACAAGCTGGATCCCACACGACCCAGTCTCAGAAGAGCACAGTTGAAAAAGCCTAAACATCAGTAGTGTTTTTTTAAATCACCACAGCCTTGTGGGTAATTGGCAGCCTCTCTAATGCTAATTTTCCTTTTCCTTTCTTTTAAAATGTTCTGAAATTTTTTTATTTAAAAAAAAAAAGCTCTGAAATGAAAATGTATTGCTTTTCTCTTTTTCTTCTTCATGGTTTTGGTTTTTAAAGACAGAGTTTCTCTGTGTAGCTCTGGGTGTCCTGGAAGTCATTCTTTAAGACCAGGCTGGCATCACTCTTAAGAGACCTCTTTATCTTGTGTGAGTGTGCACCACCACCACCCCGTCCCCTTCCTTTCTCTCTCTCTCTCTCTCTCTCTCTCTCTCTCTCTCTCTCTCTTTCTTTCTTTTTTCTTTTAAGAGACAAAGTCTCACTATGTTGCCCAAGACAGTCCTTGAGTTTGTGATTCTCCTGACTCAGCCTCCTAAGTGCTGACATTACAGGCATGCGCCACAATGCCTGGCAGGAAAACATGACTTCTATAATCTTGACTCTTTTTACATGCTCGAGGCTGGCACATGCTAGGCCAAGGCTCTAGCACTGAACCACAGCACATGCCCTTCCTAGCTGTCGTCAGGAGAGTGAGCCCTTGCTTACTTGGTGCTGGGTCTTGCTCTCCATCTGGCCCAGCTTTGTGTTCACTTTATCCTGCACCGATCCCAGCTCAGCTCTTATCTCCTCCACAGTTGCCTCCAACTGGTTCTCCAGCTTGTTGATTAGAGGTTCACAGCGACAACCTTTTATTGGCGCCTAGGAGGGAAAGAGAAAGGAATTGAGGGTGGAAAGATGCCTCCATGAGCAAGACTACTCACTGTTTAAGTTTGAGGACCTAAGTTCAGATCCCAGAATCCATATAAATATACAGTTATGGCCGGCTGTGTGTCTAATCCCAGAGCTGGGGGAGGCAGCAACAGGAGGATCACTGGAGCTTGCTGGCCTTTAGGTTCAGTGAAAGACCCTGTCTCAGAGGATAAGGTGGGAAGGGATAGAGCAGGGTATCCAGCACCCTCTGCTGGCTTCTACAAGGGCACACACAGGGGTATGCACCCAAATACACACACACACACACACACACACACACACACAAACACACACACACACACACACACAAACACACACACACAAACACACACACACACACAAACACACACAAACACACACACACACAAACAAACAAACACACACACACACACACAAACACACACACACACACACACACAAACACACACACACACACACACACGCACACACGTTGAGATTTGGTCTGTTGCTAATGTGTTGTAATGCTAAACTCTGCACCAAAGGTCTAGGCTCACCAGTAAATTCTCACATGTACAAGCTTTTGTTGTGCAAACCTTGTTCCTTAATTTAAAACTACTGGTTAAATAAAATTGGTGACAGCCAATTACTGGAGGGATTAGAGGTAGATGGGTTGTAAGTTACTGGATTGGAGGTAGAGAAGCAAGAGGAAGAAAGGAGAGATGACAAGTGGGGAGAGAAGAAGGCACCATTTGAAGAGAGGTACCATGAGCACATGGCCAGGAGAAACAGCAAGTGTTTGGGGAACACTGCTGGGGAGATAGTCAGGTCAGCAGTTGGAGAAGCAGATTAGGAGTTACCCCCCAGTAACTGTCAAAGCCAAATAAAATAACCATAGTCTGAATCTCATTTATTTGTCAGCTAGTCAGGGATAAGCTTAAATCGGTTGTATTATACACAAACACACGCACACGCACAAACACATGCATGCATGTGCGCGCACACACACACACAGCGAGAGAGACAGAGACAGACAGACAGACAGACAGACAGACAGAGAGAGAGAGGTTGAAATTAGCCCTTTTTTATTTAATAACCATCTTGAGCAACCACTGTGCAAGGCAGGATACCAGGGGGAGGTGGAAGACCTAAGAGGCCAGACTAATCCCCACGCTAGCTTTGGGATGTCTCGTGAGTTGAGCATCGGGTCCGAACGCACTAAGATTCTGAAGGTCAGACATAGTACCTATCTAAAAGAGGTTTGAATCCACCCACTCTGGGACCTCAAAGCAGAGGTCCCCTAGGGATGGTACAGAATGCTGCAGGCAGTGACTCCCCCTCCCCCGGGGTCTACAGGGTACATCTGCACTGTTTGGATTGGGCCATCCTCCTCCAGGCACAGGTGTCACAGCCTCGGCCCTTGCAGGGCTCTAACCCAACTCGACCTGTGGTACCTGCATCACTTTTCCATCCTCGCCACGGTACAGCGTGTATAGCTGGTATGCCCTGAACCCGTGGGGTGGAGGTGGGGACCAACATCGATGTCTGCTCTTCTTTTTGGGGTGGTGATGACTGTGCAGGTTCTTTTGGTGTCCAGGCTGTTGGTCGGCTGCTGGGGTGGGGTCAGATAGTGCTGACACCTATGGGAAGGAAGGGTTGCCACTCCTAAGCCCTGGCAACACTCACCAGGGTGACACCCTGCCAGCATTTCCCACCTCTCATGCAACACTACATAGTATAATCCTGTCTCAAAAATAAAAAATAAAGACCCCCACCTTGCTTCTGGGCTCAGAGCAACACACCCAGAAACCCATGAGTACCATCTCCTCTGTCTAAAGCCAGGGAGTTTCATTTTTGTGCCTGTTCCCAAACTGCCAGCCATAGGAATGCTGTCCTAGCTGGCAAGTCAACCTAGACCCTCCTGCAAGCCAGCCCATGGCTCCCCCCCCCGGGGGGGGCGGGGGGGGGGGGTCGGGACCGCTGGCCTTGACTTTTTCCTCCTTTCATCTTTTCTTGGGTCCTGGGAAGCTGGTGGGCAATCTCTTCTAGCTTCCTCCTTTTGGGGTACAGCTTGTTCACTGCTGGGGGTGTCTCCTGCTGAGACACTTCCCTACAAAGGAAAAAGCCCCCTAAATTATTCCACTTGAGGCTTTTGCCTGACTCCAGCTGGGAACACTTGTGCTTGCAAGACTCCACCCAACAATGGGGACATTAACCAGACAGACATCTTCTACATGGGGGCAGGCTTGGCAGCAGCTTCTCTTGTCTGGCTGGGCTTTTATTTGTAGGAAATGAAGCATGCTCTCCGGTGTACACTTAGATGCTTGGTTTAAAGGTGTGTGGCACCATGCCTAGCTTAGAAATAGCTTATGTCTTCAGAAAAAGTCTCTATATCATGGTCCCTCCCAAGAACTCTCAAAGAGCTGGGCACGCCACACATGTCTTTAATCTCAGCAGAGGCAGGTATAACTCTGAGTTCAAGGCCAGCTTAGTCTACTTAGTGAGTTCCAGACCTGCCAGGGCTACACAATGAGACTTTGTCCCCCGCACCCTCCTCCAAAAACAAACAAACAAACAAACAACCTTAACAAGGGATACCATATAGTTTACTGCCCAATGGCATCTGCTGTGGGGACTCCCAATGCAAGCTCGGAACCTATGTACTATCCAATTCTGGTGTGCCTGGTGCCCTCCTTTTCTGATGTACACACAGAAGCCATTCTCTAGTTAGAAACTGAAGCAGCAGCTTGCCCTAGTGGGTCTCAGAATCACCTAGAAAGCTGTTTCCAACAGACCAGGTTGCCCACCCAAAGCTCCTGTTCCAGCAGGTCCAAGCTGAGCCCAGAGAGTCTCCATTACTAACAAGGCTCCAGGTGACAACATAGCAGCACAGAAGAATCAAACCACTGCACAAATCAGGCAGAGTGCCGGTGTGTGTGCATGATAGGACAAAGGCCGAGGGCATGTGGGGCACATAGGGAGGATGAAGGCCACTCCCTCACATACATATAAAGACACAGGATCTGGAACTGTGGACAGAACTAGGTTCATGAGAGAGGGATAGCAGCCTGAACCCAGGGGGATGGCCAGGCTGAGGCGGGAGGCAGTGAGGCTGGGCAAGAGGACACCTGACCTGGGGTTTGTGGAAGAGCCCTACCCCGTACCTTGCTCTGTGCCACCTCATCTCTGGGCACAGACTGGGCCCTCCTCTCTTCCTTGAGCCTCTCTCTCCTTTTCCTCAGGCTTCGCCCACGACTGAAACGCAAGATCTAAAGAAGACAAATACCACAATTGTAGGGGTAAAGGGAGACACAGAATCAGCATGTGGTCAAGAATTCTCCCTGGCACTCTGACCTAACAGAACCCACAGCTTGGTGGCAAAACTTAATAGTCATAGAAACCTCTGGACCTCGTATGCTTCCTTCTCCTTAGTCTTGTGCTGAGCACAACAGGGACCCAGAAAAGGGTAGGATATCATCTCTGAGCACAAGAGACTTCTATAATGATAACAACACCAAGCATTTATGTGCTGGGCTGGCATGGCCAGACAGGTGTGTGGTGCCTAACTCCAGAGACTGCCACCTCCATAAAACAAGGATCAGAATGTCATGCCATGAAGGTAGCCCTGCTCTGGGCAGTTTCATTTTCTACCTTCCAGGTCCCTTGACCAAAGTGCATGCCCAAAACACTGTCGACTTAATTCAGATGACATTGAGGGTATCTGTGAGCCATCAGTCTGACTGTGGAGCCCCGAAGGAAGACTGGTGTCTGCCCCTAACAATGCAGTTAAGGTGGAAAGAGCCAGGAGATGTTAGGGTACCCAGCAGCAGCTGGATGAGGAGCTTTGGCACATGGTTTCGGCTACTAAGCTCCTCATCAAGGAGAATCAGCCAGGAACAGGAGATGGCTGTATCCGTAGTCACTGCTTGCCCTTAGTCACTAAGATGCTTAGTTGGCAGAGTGTATTTTGCCACAGAACACAGATCTGAAGAACCAGGGGCCTTCAACCTCTGGCCCATAGTCTCAGAGCCACTGCCATAAACCACAGTTAGTGACAGTTCAGACTCATTGTAAGTCAAGTCTGACAAAGCCACTAGCACTGATTGTTTGCCTGGTCTATGGAATCTGACATCAAGGCCCAGCTGAACTCAAGCCTGAACTTCTTCCTATTTGTGAGACACTGCAGCCATATATGACAAGTGACTCAAGGACAACTAAACCCAAAACAGCAGCAGCAAGCGTCCTTCCACAAATGTGCTAGTAACCCGAGAAGAACCATAAGGCCCACAGCCATTCCCAGGGTAACGTGGACCAAACAGAACATCAGCAGCCCTTTCCAGGCTGCAGCAGTCAGTGAATGCTGGCCCAGGGGCCCAGAGGAAAAGGTGTATTCTTAGTGTTGCTGCGGTCATCAAAGGCTGTGCTTAACTAAGGGCTTCAGCAAAGGGGCTTTTGTTTATAGGCAAAGCAGATAACAACTGGCAACAAAACAATGTGCAAAGAGTGTACTATGTATATTCAAAGTTCTTCAGTGTGAGAATGAGATTTGGTATGTAAAACTGTACATGGAATGTGATGGTTTGTATATGCTTGGCCCAGGGAGTGGCACTGTTGGGAGGTGTGGCCTTGTGGGCGTGGACTTTAAGACCTTTGTCCTAGCTGCCTGAAGTCAGTATTCAGCTAGCAGCCTTCATATGAAGATATAGAACTCTCAGCTCCTTCTGCACCGTGCCTGCCTGGATGCTGCCATATTCCCCCACCTTGATGATAATGGACTGAACCTCTGAACCTGTAAGCCAGCCCCAATTAAATGTTGTCCTAATAAGAGTTGCCTGGGTCATGGTGTCTGTTCACAGCAGTAAAACTCTAAGACATGGAATTTCTACAGTATGTACAGTTGCTGTTCAGTTGTATATAGAAAACCTAAGCCATTTTTATCAAATTTTTTATGTGTATGAGTTTTGCCTATATGTATTATGTATGTGTATGTATATGTATGTATGTATACACACACACACACACACACACACACACACACACTTGTGCATGCAGTACCCACAGAGGCCAGAAGAGGGCACTGGATCCTTGAAACTGGAATTGTAGATGGTTGTAAGCTATGATGTGGGTGTGGAAATTGGACCTGGGTCCTCTGCAAGAGCAGCCAGTGCTCTCAGCTTCCAAACTACCTCTCCAGCCCCCTAAGCCACTGTTAAACAGAAACGCAAAGGAGAACTGTTCACCAAGAGAACCAAGTTGAAGATCTTTGAGCTCTGGAAGATAAGTGCCAGGTGTGACTAGCACACACCACTCTCTGTGTGCCTGGTGACTTCTGCAGTCCCACAGGACACGGTGCCCTGTGTGTGTGGCTGAGGACAGGGCTGAGTGGATATCAGACGCTGAAATGGCAGACAGATGGACTACTGCCGACACCTGGCATTCTCTACTTTCTATCTTTTGCAAAGTGGGAGTGAGGTGGGGTATCCCACTCTTGCATGACCCTGACTAGGGGCAACAGGGAATGAAGAACACAAAGGTGCACGGACACCCGGACACAGAGAAGCTGAGACCAGCTTGGCTGTGCTCACGATGATGGAGCAGCTGCAGCAACCTGGAAGCTCAGCAAGCTCATCACGTACAGTTGAATAGGGGGCGGGGTTACTAGATGCAAGGGGGCGTGGTTTACTGTACACTGCTGAATAAGGAGGCAGGTGTTGCCACTCTTAAGTTTGAGCATGAGAATGAGTCTCTGTAGGGGAGCAGTCTTCAAACTGCAAACATCCTTGGAGGACAAGTTATGGTGAACAGTTTTGCATGCACTTTCAGCATCCGCACATGGACCAGAAGGGTTTTGAGCTCCTCTGTTCTCAGCGTTGAGGGCTCACTGGCTTTGCCATCCCTCCAACATCAGCTGGGGGAGGCTCTGCATCCTCCATGGATCTAAGGCATCAGGGTCCTTGACATGGGCATTCTCATCTCAACGATACACATTCCCTCAGGATTTCATACTGCATTTCTAGTGGCTTCTCACCCCCATGCCTGCATCGGAGTGCGTGGATATACAGACACCACTGAGTATATCCACTCACTGACCGTCTCCATGTGTTCCTCTTACAAAAGAGAGGAATTGCTAGCAGTCTAGAAACTGCTGCCAGTCATATCAGCATGAGGGCCACGTGACACGCTGGGCCCTGGTACTAGCAGCATGGTACCCGGAAGCTTGTTTTCACTCCCTGAGCCTCAATAAGGAGAATTCAGTGTTTCCAGCCTTGCTCTGGAATAGCCTGCCTTCCCAACACTAAGGAAATGACCCTACTAGACCACATAATTGTGAACACTCCAGAACACTGTCCTGTCTTAGCTATGGCCTAAGGGAGGGTGGAAAGGATAGGTCCAGCTATACAGAGACTTTCAGCAGAGGGTGTAAGTATGAAAGAAGAAAAGCTGTGATTCCCAGTTGCCATGATTACAAACTCCTATGGTTACTTAATGTCAACCTCAATTAATGAAATCAGCCATTGTTTCTGAGTAAGGCGCAGAGTACTCAGACTCAACTAAAAAGAGGTGTTGGGGGGGAAACCTATTCTGTAGTTACTGATTCTGGTGGATACTTACTGATATATCTAGACAGAATGCTCCTCTGACCTACTTTCTTTGGGAAATGGCTCCTTATTTCTCCAAGGCCCTTGTCTAGTATGTTGTAGGAGGCCACAGCCTGCAGCCACAGCCTTGTCCTATAGTGGTTTGAACTGGAACATCTTCCCTGGCTGGGCATCTGAGAAGGGAGGGTCCAGGAAGCTCATGGCAGCAAGATCACACCACGGCGAGACAATGGCACCCTGGATAAAGAGCTGGCCTCGGTACCACATGGACTCGTACACTCTAAACTGCCTGGCCTCTTAGCCCATCAATCCTTAGTTATTTTCAACAACTGGCTTCAGTAGCTCACGGCCAGAGGAATCCCAGCTACCGTGCAGCCCCACATGATCAGTAAGACGCAGTAAGTCCTACCTGGGGAGCCTTGGTGAGGAGTAGAGCAACTTCAGGATTATTGTGATAGCGGGCAGTCTCCAGCGGGGTCTGGCCTGCCTGAAGAAAGACATGGGGAGGGAGGTAACAAAGGAACGCCAGCAGTAGGGTAGCTCCACGTCACATCACACTCAAGGAAGGCCACTCCTAGACCTCACCTCCTCGGTGGAGTACATCAACACGGCCCATTAAAGCCTGTTAGCCTCAGAGGGAGGAAAAGAGGGAGGGGTAAGCATAAAGAAGGACAAGGTGGGCATTTCTGTTGAGCAACACAAAGGATCAGAAAATCCAGCCAGGCATGACTTCTCCTACAGGAGCAACCTCAGCACAAACAAAGCTCCAGCCATGCAGGTTGTACAATTAAACACCAGGAATGGATTCCAAAGGAAAGGAGAGTGTCCTGGTCACTGTGGACAGCACCACACAGGTTCAGAGCTATACTGGAGGAAGAAGATGGGGTTAGGGCAGGGTAAGCTAGACACAGAAACAAAGAACACCCCAGCTTCAGTGCCGCAGGTCCCTGGGAGGAAGAAGGGACCTACAACTACGGGGCCTGCAAAAGTGATCAGGCACACCAGGAAAGGAAGGATGGAGGGGCAGTCTCAGAGAGAAAGGCAGTGGAGTTCTGGGCTTATCACCTGGTCAGGAGGCCCACAGGCCAGCTTGTTGAGAACCCTCAGAACTCTCCTCTTGCCAGGCTGTGCTCACCCAGCTTAGTGTGTAAAAGAATTGTTAACTCCTGGGGCTGCTTAGAGCTGGCCCAATTCAGATGAGGGCCCCGGGGTTATGGCTTGGGTGAGCTCACTGAATCCTTAGGACCTGCGTGTCCGTAGAACTACTACTGTGGTTCAACTTACATTGTTCACAATGGTAGTGTCAGCACCAGCTTCCAGCAGGATTTTAACTACCTTCTTGTGATTTAGGGCAGCAGCCACATGGAGGGCCGTGTCTCCAGCCTGCAAGCAACCAGAAGAGAGCTTGCTCAACAGACCTATTGCTCATAAGCTAGCTACGCAGCTCTGCCTAGGATGTTCTACAAATCCAAACAAGACTTGTCATAAAAACATAAAGCTCGCTGTGCAAGCCTGGAAGAGCCCCCAAAGCCAAATGGTCAATGCGATTACCACATACTCCTTCCTGCCTGAGGAGACCAGAAGCTGCAAACCAGGATTACATGTGTAGATGTGAAAAGGACCAGTTGGGTTGCTGAGAATGGAGGGCCTTAAGCCCCTGGGAGACAGACGTGGGGACTGAGATCGGGTCACCCTGTGTATCAGCCCAGGGGGTCAGGGTTAGAAGCACTTGGCTTCTGAGCTGAGACTGAGGAAAAGCTGAGAACTCGTGCCTGCCCCTCAGCCAGCTCCATGGACCAGGAACCCCAGGAAAGTTCTTCTGCAGGCTCCGGTGGAGACACCGAGGCCCAGGCTTTGGTTAAAGCTCACTGTTTTCTGCACTTCCACCTCCAGCCTTCACAGTTTCATATTCTCTTATAAGAAGTGCTCCCAGAGGACCAGCCCTGAAAGGAAGACAGTTCCCAAAGGCTCAACTTTAAAGAAACAGGAGACTTGGCAGCTCACACAGAAGGGGCAGTGCAGGGAACAGGAAAACGGTGGAATTCCTGAGACAGCTGGAATTCCTGGCTTCTTTTCTATGCTACAGTCCTTTCTGTAGGTTTTCTTGGTAAAATCCCAGTGTAAGCAAAAGCTATGGCAAGCTCTCCCCAAAATGCTCACCGTGGAGCTGTGGTGATATGCACTGGGATGGTAAGGATGCATCTCCAAGGATGGAGGCGGCCAGCTAAGCCAGGCCACTGTAACAGTGGGATACCCACCCAGAACAATGTTGGTGGGGTCCCGGACAAGTCAGAAGGCAACCTTTCCCAGCAGCCTCTACCCCTGTCGGTACCCCATTAGGCTGTCCTTGTGGGGACAGTGCCGTGGCCATGAAGAGGTGCACGCACTGACCTGGTTCTTTTCATGAACAGAGCAGAAAGCACTGAGGAGCAGTCTGATGACGGACAAGTGATTATACCGTGCAGCCACGTGCAAACACGTGTCCCCTGCCTGTGGATGGAAGCAAACTCTCAGCAATCAGCAGTTACAAAACAACAACAACAAAGATGCTCACTTAAAACCTGGCAGACAACTGAATGCTGTAGGGAGCGCTAACCTCAACTATAAGCCAATCCCAAGAATCTTTGCTTTGTTTTTGTGCATATAAAACTAGATGCCCACTTCCCATGAGTACTTTGGAAAAGCTAATGCGGGTGATAATGGAGCCTGACTGACCTCTCCTACAACACAAAGTGTCTGAAATAAATGAAGTGAAGAGCAATCAAGTCTTGCTTTGGAAATGAGTTTTCCAGCAGGGACCCATCACAGCTGGAAGGCTGCTCTCATCCCCTATGGAGCAATACAGACCAGGGGACTGAGGAACAGAAAGACTCAGAATCCTTAGCGGGCAAGGCTAGACTCCACTGCCTTTGACAACACAGAGAGACATCACTGTATTCTACAGGCTCTGGCTGGTGTTTTCTTTCTGTCTAGACAATCATGGCCACTTGGCACAGCTGTCTCCTTTGGACTAAGAAATAGGCAATGCTAGGGTTCAGAGAATTCTAGAACTATATTATATAAGTCTGCCTCCTAAACAGGGAGATACTGGCAATTTCTGAGAGAAGCTTAAACCACAAGCTTTCTTCAGAAAGCACAGGAGGAAGATGTTCTCAAGCCCTTCTAGTCACACACTGTTCTAGAACAGTGCTCTGCCAGCTAGTGGGAAGGACACTACAGTTATCAACAGCTGCCCTTCAAAGAGGCTCAGTACTGAGTACCACAGAACAGCCCTGCCTGGTACTGTTCCCACAGCAGCATTATGACCCTCTATGTGGGTACACATTCTTAAAGCATTTATACCAGTGCTTCTCAACCTTCCGAATGGTGCGACCCTTTAATGCAGTTCCTCATGTTGTGGTGACCCCAACTGTAGAATTATTTTTATTGCCATTTCATAACTGTGATTTTGCTACTGTTCTGAATTGTAATATATTTTTGGAGACAGAGGTTTGTCAAAGGGGTCGAGACCCACAGATTGAGAACTGCTGATTCATAGGCTTTCTAGTCCTGACAGATACACAGTAAGAAATGCTAAGGTAAATTTGAGGCATATATGGGGAAAGCAGCATTTTCCCTAAGTAACCCCTCAGAAAACAGCAAAATCCTAATTTAGAGGTTAGGCCCGAAACTCTCTGGCACTTTAGTTTGTAGATATTAACACTGACTCTGCTTTGGGGGCATTCTTTTCCAAGGTTATATAACAGTGCCCGTTAGAGGCTGGTACTTTCACCCACATTATTTTTGAGGTCAGCCCGGGAGCCGCCCAGCAGGAGGACACGCGTGCTCTGGGAGTGACTGTTCTGGCAGGCCAGGTGTAGAGCCGTGTTCCCTGCCTTGGAGAGACAGAGAGAAGGGAGGACACGTTAGCAGCACAAACCTGCACAGACCTGCAGTGCACAGTGAGATACTTACTCAGGGAGACGTCAGCCATTGTCACATTCTACACCGTGATAGGGATCCCAGCTGCTGTCTCAGACACAGGAATAGTGACTGTAGAGTCCCCTCTGTCCCTAAACCTTGGCTCTGAGCCCCACCTCTGCCCCTCATGAGTTAAAGCCAATCAGAAAAAAAACTTCACTTGGTTAGCCTTGACTTCTTTACCAGAAGCAGAGCTTGAACCTCCTTCCTGAGGCCCTGAAAAGAGTCGTTGGTCCTTGTGTTTTCTGAACCACGAGCATGTGTACAGTGCTGAACCCATCTCAGATAGGACTCGGTCCAGTGTGGGCAGTAGCTCTGCTACAAACACCTCCTGGAAAGGGAGGCTAACATGTGACTTGCACGCCTGCACTGAGATGACACCTGCCCTGAGACACCTGTACTGAGATGCCTGCCCTGAGACACCTGTATTGAGACACCTGTACTGAGATGCCTGTTCTTCAATGTTTTTAAACATAATCATTTGAACTATGGAAAGATGTTGACCTAAGGGGCAATACTTAAACACCACCTAAGAAGAATGTCAACAAAGATTTTACAAATGCCATGGTGTGAACCGAACTCTTAGATTCCAGGGCAACAGGGTCCTAACAGCTGCTGATAACCCCCAGAAAAGCATTTTCTCATTACTTAATGGGAAAAGCAGGTAATGCATTCTGAGCACACAGTCAAATGCAGGCTCAAGACTCTGTCCTGATGAGCTTGAGAGCTGTGGTTGCACCTGCCCAGAGCTCTGTGCATCCCTCCCACACCTCCTCTCCTCCGGACCTCACTGCAGTCTCCAGAAACCCCAGATATTAGGTTCCTTTTGAAAAAGAATTCTACAAGCAAATAAATTAATAAGTAAAATGAAAACTGCGTGTTGTCAGTGTTCTCTGTGTGTTCTCATAACCATGTCTCTAGTCAGACTTGCTGGGCATTTACTAGGACCGAGGAGGAAGGCAAGCCCAACGGCCTGGTGAGGTAGGCTGTCTCAGCCTTCCCTGTGAGCCCTTGCTGCACACCAGAAGCACCTGGGATGAAGATGCTTTCGAGCTCCATCAGTGCAGGCCTGGGCTCTGCTTTCCTCAGCCTGTGGGGTGGAGCCTGGTCAAACAGTCCGAGTCTCACATTCTCTCTGGTCACCAGACCTGGCTTTTTGTTGATGTATTGTTAGTTTTTTGTTTGCTTGTTTGTTTTTTAGGTTTTAAATCTCCTACAACCTACTGTACAGTTAAGAACCACGCACAGCTAACTTTCCACAGCAAGGCATCCATTTATGTCTTACACACTCCTGATCTCTAAGCTGCTGACTTCAAGGCAGCAGTTAAATATGTGCTGAGAAAATGAGTGAATGAAAGAAACCCAATGGTTCCAGAGAGATGGTATATCCAAGTTTACTTTGTCACTAAGAAAATATCCATTATGCAAGTACATTGTGGGAAATCCTCAGGCTCCTTAAACACTGGCCACCCAAAGAAAGAAAAGGCAACCCCTTCTCAACACCACTCTGTTCTCAACACTACTTACAAATATTCTAAGGGTACTGATAACGCAACGCTTCTTTTATTTCTTTAAATAACATTGGTCTCTTCTCCTAATGGCTGAAGAAATAATCAGTTCAGTTTAAAAATTTTGGAAAATGCACAAAAGTAAAAACAACATCAAAAGTTAGTAAGTCTAAATTGAAATAGATAGCCACCATTACTATCTGGGTGATATCTTTCCAGGCTTAGTTTTTACAAAATGTAAATTCACGTTAGCACTGAGGCACATATATGTGCCATGTTTTTTCACAACTTATAACATTATCAACAAAACTGTGACTTAAATTGTATTAATTAGGTTGACTCTGACTGAGAAACTTTATATTCTTCTGCATTTTTTACTGCTTTGCTTATTGCTATCACAGATATGCTTAAGGATAAAGTTCTCCCAGCATACCTCACTGCTTTAAGAACAGAAACCCCAGACAGTAGCTACCATACAAATAGGTAAGAACTCCTTTTCCTTTTGGGTGATGCAGGGGATTGACCCTGGGCACGGCAGGCAAGTGTTGCATTCCTGGCTGTATATCCCAGTACAATAGGAACATTCTGGCTCTACAACTTGCCTCCCAAAGGCAGCCGCTCCAACCCCATCTTCCCAGCCCACCTTATTGTACCACACTGGAACTATCTATTAGCATTTTCACTCTTTGCTCGCATTTTTCATGCCAACTCTCTATTGCTGTCCTTTTATAATGATGTCAAAGATGACGAGGACAGGTTCTCAGCAGTGGCCAGGGGTTTCTCACACCAGCATGGTCTCAGCACGCTGGAATGCTTCCCCTGCCTGGACCACCAGCCAACAACCTACCTCTGCAGAGAGCCGTCTAGGTGAGGCTGCCCCAGTGAGCATGCCCCAGTGAGCTCTACCCGGTGCTTCTCATGGGTCACAGACAAACAGGAATAAAGACTACCATAGCCCACTGTTAAGGAGGAGGTCAGCTGCCGGGCCTCACCTTGTTTCTGGCGAGCACATTGGCTCCGGCTTTAACGAGCAGCTTGGCTGACTGGCTGAATCCATGCCAGGCGGCTTCATGCAGGGCTGTATTCCCATCCTGAATAACACATAGGCAAGACAACATGTTATGCAGGCTCTGGCTCTAAAAGCACGACGCTACAGTAGCTACAGGGCCTTCTGCAACCGGTGCCCATCGGAACCACAGAGCACAGGAAAAGATCTCAGGGGCCAGTTTCTCCACTCTCCTAGAACCAGCAGGACAAGAGCCACTCTGGACACATGGAGGAGAAACGGCCTCAGGAGATGCAGCAGGTAGGCCTTTCCTTGGAAGCACGCCATCCAGAAAGGCTCCAGAGCCTCCCACAGCTCTGTCTGTAGAAAACAGCACACTTGGGATGGGACACTGTCATTCCTTCCCAGTTCCACTGTCCCCTAGGCTACACCATGCTCCTGATACCAGAAGAAGTCCTGAAAAAATGAGCCTTATTACATAGAAAACCCACCCAATCCCATTTCTTCACACATGAAAAATATTTAGTTATTGAAGATAGAGTCTCACTATTTCCCCTGGCTGGCCTAGAACTCGAAATATAGACTAGGCTGGCCTCAAATCCAGAGACCTTGTGAGAGCTAAGATTAAAGGCATGCAACACCATACTCTTGTCTTTGTCAAAATGTAGTGATCTCTGGTTCAGTATTAAACCCCTAGGACTCTAAAAGACCAGTCATCAAAGAAACACTGTAAATAAGCTAACCAAGACTTCTAGATATGTGGCTTTTATATACAAACTAATAAAATGGCTCCCTTTGCTTTAGTTACTAGGAGAGAGGGAATGAAGGATGGGCAGGCAGGAACACACATGTAGCTCCAGGCCGTCATGCTTAGGCAAGGGTACATTCTACAGCTATGTACATCCAGAGACCTGCACGGAAGAGCTAAGGCCTAATGCAGGGAGAGCCAGGGTTCCAGAGTTGAGGAGCAGAGCAATGCTGGGGAGGGCAAGAGGTCACCAGGCCCAGATGGGGCCATTATGGGAGCAGCAGCATAAAGAGACAGGAAAACAGAAGGGCTCTGGGCTGCGGAGGAACCACTCCTGAGCCAGGGCCCTAGGATGTGCTGAGGAATCTCGTGCCGCACTTCCAGTCTGCGAACTTTTCTGCATGTTACACCTCTTAATGAAAAGCTGGGGGTCGGGAGAAAGACACAGAGACTGCAAGGCACTAAATACAAACACCCACATTCTGAGATTCGACAATTTAAAAACATGGGGCTAGTATAAAATTCTTATAAGAAATAAATGATTGGTTCTTTTTTTTTTTTTCTTTAATAGCTAGGAAATTTAACTTGCTTGCTCATCTAAAAAGTAGAGCCTCTGAGAGTGCCTCTTCCTCTCACCTTCAATAGATTTTCACAGGTCCTGAGCTCTGCATTTCCCTTCGTTTACCTGGACTTAAGCGGTTAGCACAGAGCCACAGATTAGTGGGAAGGGTTTTAAAATAAACACAACTTCTGGGCTCCCAGATACTCTTTCAGAGATGGCTAGGTTGACCTCTCTTGTTGGCTGGGAGGAAGGACAGCATCTTGAACGTACCACAGTGAGTCAGGCCGGCTCCTCAGCTGACTGTGGAGTCAGCCCTTTCCACTCCACTCACCTTGTCCTGTCTGTCCAGGGCACATCCCTCCTGGATAAGCGCTGTGAGGATCTCAGTATTTCCCACCACAGTGGCTCGGTGCAAGGCTGTCTGGTCCCCCTACAAAATGAGATAGAGGCAAGATCAACAGATTTCTCTAACAGTCTTTCCTTCAGCCAAACTCCAGGGTATCTCTTATCTTCTCCAGGGTATCTCTTATCTTCTTGCAGAAGAGCTTGGTCACCACGGGCAAGGCCAGCTTCGGGGTCCCATTAATAGAGAATGCATGCGGCAGAGCAATTTGTTCATAACCTGGAAGGATCTTATGTCAACAGCAAGAATAGCTGTCGGCCTCAGATCTCCCTGAAGGAGAGCCAGGCCCTTCCTGGCTGCCTAGTGGAGACATGTCTGAGAGCCTGGCTGTGAATGTCACAGTTCAACCAGCAGCTCCTGCAATCCTTATTCCCTTCGAGGTCCTCGGGCCCAGATTACAGAGGAATCACTTTCTGCTTGTGACAGTTTAAGGGCCTCATGCTTTGATGACAGGTGTGTAATTTGTTCACTGATTTGCACTAGCCCCAGAGCAACATGGGGGTGTGAGGACCCCAGGACTGAAGCCTCCTACTGCATATTTTTGAGATGGCTCCTTCTGATTTATGCTGTATTCTGACCCTTCCTCAGCAATGGGATTCCTGGGGTGACTGGTTTCCTCCTTCAGGCACCAAAGTAGAACTTGATTCTTCCCCCCCTAACTGTGGCAGAGAGGAGGAGTAAACACCCTAGAGGTGATGGAAATAAGGGCTTTGATCTCTGGGCTTCTAGGAACACAGTTCATCTCTGGCATGTACCTGAGTCAAGTTAAGGCAAAGCCAAGTCATGCCTGAGGTCCAGGCTTGAAAGGGGAGATGAGTGAACAGTGTGGATACTTGCAGATAGAAATAATAAGCTAATGACCAGAGGATCAGGAGAATGGGTTGTACACAGTTGTGTACAGCTTGTAGGAGCCTCAGGACCCTCACAGGAAAAGGCAGGGCCAGGGTTCTCTTTCCTTTGGGATTCTATGATTCAGCTGATAAGATTTACATTAGTAAATTTTCCAGAGAGAGCACAGAGGGGCAAGGACACATTCCTGAACTTTGCTGAAACCTAGTCCAAGAGAGGCAGCAGAGACTGTGGGAGATAGGTAGCAAAGACCAACATCAGGAGGCCTGCACCACTAACTACGGTAGCTTGGATGAAGCTTCGTGACCTCACACAAAGAGAGAGTCATCACAAAGAGACACATGAGAGACATTTCATCCAAGAAGGAAAGTTCTGGAAATAGATTATAGTGCCTGGTGTGCAGATCTTTAACCAGGAACTGTACAGAAATATAGTGAAATGAATAGAAGAGAATTCATTTCATGTTACCATATGTGTGTGTGTGTGTATGTGTGTATGTGTGTATGTGTGTGTGTGTGTGTGTGTGTGTGAGAGAGAGAGAGAGAGAGAGAGAGAGAGAGAGAGAGAGAGAGAATAATAAATCCCACTCAATTCTAGCCAACACACATGTGGCTGGGTATGTTGGTACACACTTATAATCTCAACACTCAGGAGGCAAAGGCTGGTGAATCATGAAGTCAAGGCCAGACCTGGCTACACAGTGAGACTCTATTTCCAACACAAAATAACTTCAAATCTGCTTTTCTTAAAATAAAAAGTTTAAAAGTCTCTCTTAAAATCCACATGGAGGGGGGTGGAGAAATGGTTCAGCAGTTAAAAGCATTGTTACTCCTCTAGAGGAACCAGATTCAATCGGGCTCACACACACACACACCAGCTTACAACTGTCTGTAACTCCCATTCCAGAGGACCTAATGCCCTCTTCTGGCCTCCGTGGATATCAAGTATGCCTGTAGTACACATACTTACATGTAGGCAAAATATTCATGCACATAAAATAATTTTTTAAAAATCTACAAGGAGCGATTTTTAACTTCTTCCTTGTTCTTTTGAATACCCTTAGGTTGCTAGTGGAGAGCTGCCATTAATCACCCTACTCAGCTTAGACCCAGTGTGCAACACCAACCAGTGAAGCAGTTAGCCCCTGTGCAACAGTGGGAAGTCTGGGCTGGCGTGCAGGGGTTTGAATGGGATGGTCCCCACGGGCTCACATGCTTGAATGTTTGGTCCTCAGTTGGTGGAAGAGTTTGGCGACAGGTGTGACCTTGTCAGATGAGGTGTGCTCTCTCCTTCCCTCCTGCTTGGGGATCACAGTGTGAGCTCTCAGCTATTCCTGTTGCCACCATGCCATCATGGACTCTAACTCTCTGAAGCCATGAGCTCAACTGAGTTTTACAAAGTTGCCTTGGTCATGGTGTGTTATCACAGCACTGGAAGCCTGAGATAAGGTGGTAACCACCTGCTTTCTGACCAGGAAGGTCCTAGGCCCCAAGCAGGGAATCTCCAGCTGTTGTTTTGTATCGACAGGATGTGTCTCTCAAACTGTCTTCCAAATAATGACTGTGCCTACAGACTAGTGCTGGTGTCTGCTTTGGTTTGAGACGCTCCTTTTTGCAGTGGTCACTGGTGACTGTAGGTGCTCATAACTGTCATTGACATTGCAGTGGTCACTGGTGACTGTACTCGCACATAACTGGCCAAAGTACTCTGCAACCTTACTTTTTTTTTTTTTTTGAGACAGAGTATCTCTGTGTAGCCCTGACTGTCCTCGAAGTTGCTCTGTAAACCAGCCTGCCATTGAAGTCATGGAGATCCTCTTGCCTTTGTCTCCTAAGTCTGGAACTAACAGAGCGCACCACCACCTTTCAACTTTTTAGTATTTAACATATATAACTTCAGACACTAGGTAAAATTCCTACCAATTACAATTTAAGCCATAAGAAGACATCAGGGTAGGATTGCCCCCTTTACAAGCTTTTCTCCCAGTTCACTTGATGACTTAAGGGGCTTGCAGAGGGCTGGATGAGGGTGTCCAGCCCCACTCCCATGACTGTGGGTGACTGGCTCTGCTCTCAACAACTCTGTCCTCGACACCGTCGGCTTTCATCACATTACAAGCTAGATTTAGACTGTTTTTCTTCCTGTTCACCCTCAAGTACTGTACTTGGAGAGGACCCTTTCTGTGTGCCTTGTGGTCACAATGAGACCCCTTCTGTGTGCCTTGTGGTCACAACGAGAGTGTCACACTTAGAAGCGGCTGCCTGGAGATGAGCTGACAGGCAGGGCTTTGCAGCAGAGTCATGCTCACTGCCCAAACACGTCGGATGGGATCGTATCCAGGTCTCAGCTCTTAAAATTCCACCAAAATTTCTAAGACATTTTATTTCCCTATCAGATTAGTCATGGGTTTTCCCAAAATGATCATTAAAAAAAAAAAAAAAAGATTGTTCTCGACAAGAAATATGAGTTCAGTACTGACTCAGTCAGCTTCCCAACAGGACAGGCCTTTTAATCATCCCACACGTGGCCCACTCTGCCAGCATTCCTGGGAGCAATCGGAGCCACCTTCATAGAAGAAACTTGCATTCCGTGCTAGGTATAAAGTGGGAGCCACATGCCCTAAGCACGCAGGTCTTGTCAACATTTCACCGTAGTCCATAGGCTGCTCATGAATTAAGAGCTGACACAGCTTTGGGCCAGCGTGGCACTGTTGCTTATTATGCCTTTGCTCACCTATGGAGGGCATCTGCTTCCTTTGAGACAACTTTTCTTTGCAAGACTCCAACTTGATAGAAGCAGCTAAAGCTAACTCTCAGGTCAGTTCTTAGCAGAACATTTCCAAATGGATTGTCAAGACTCCAGGAGAGCTGACAGTTGGGTGCTGCTGTGGGGAGAAGCTGTCCTAAGCCAGCTGGCCCATTCAGCTGCACCCATGACCAAGCATCCAAGTCCCAGTGTAGCTTTATTGCTGCCGCTGAGTGTCTATTACTGCTCTGCTCTTCGTGGTGGGACAAACAGCACCGTTCATGATGGCTAACCTGGTCCCTGTGGCCTCCTCCAGTCTAAGAAGCTAGCTCTCTTATGATACCAAGATGAGAATGAAAGGCTCTGAGAAAGATAAATTTTGCGGGCGGGGTAGGGATGGGGGGCTGCCTGCAGCCATGTGTGGAACACTCTCCAGAACAACACAGCTAAACCCAGACCCTCAAGCTGAAGTACACTCAGTTACCTGAGAATCAATGCTTGGCTCCTATAAAAAAAAAAATTAAACCGGGCCAGGCAGTGGTGGCGCACACCTTTGATCTCAGCACTTGGGAGGCAGAGGCAGACAAATTACTGAGTTCGAGGCCAGCCTGGTCTACAGAGTGAGTTCCAGGACAGCCAGGGCTACACAGAGAAACCCTGTCTCAAAAAACAAACAAACAAACAAAATTAAACCTACTAATATACTATAGTATATATTATATTATTTTAAATATACTACTAGCTACACGTCCTCTTCAAAACATAATACAAAGGCTGTACTTGACCTACAAATGGACCCACACAGCAACCCTGACATAATTCTGCTTGAATACGATCTATATCAACTAGGAAACTCTGAAACTGAAGGAAATGCCAAAGAAAACCTAGCTCTCTCAACACATTTTGTCAATATTCCCGAAATGTTTATTGATCCCTAACTAGTTCTCTTGTTATACTGATAAGCCTCACCTAGGACTGTCAAACTGTAAAGCCTCTTTGCCAAGCTGCCAGCAGCTTTTGAAGCCAGTTAACCTTAGCCACTGGTCTCCAAAAGGAGATGGTATCTCTGTGAGGTTGGGGCTGCCTCACTATGCAAGCTGGGAGAACAGCATAGAGGCCAGTCCCTAAGTCACCCGGGATCTATTGCTGAATGATTAACTGAGGAGAAGCAAAGGAAGAAACACTGCCAGGAACTAGAAGCAGCAACAATACTGCAGTTGGCACTCTGATCTGGAACATACTGACCTGCAAGTACAACAGTCTGGACTGCCTGCATTTGACTTCCCCTAAAATACCAGGGTTTCTCACAGCAGAACGTCGGAACCTGAGGCCTAAGTCTTTGTTCTGAAATACTTTGATTTCCATCTTCTATACAGTGAAAAGCATTGGGTGTTCCAAAGCCAAGCACATGAAAGAAGCCCTGGTTGAGTAGGGATGGAGCACACCCCGTTTGGGAGGAAGCCCCCAGGGGCCCAAGCAAACATGCTGTAAGCAAGCCCTACACCAGGTAGGCACGCAAAGCAAGGGGCTGACCTCTTCTCTCTCAGGTCTTCTAGGCTCCTTCCTAGCCTTTCTTCTCTGCTTCCTCTTATTTTTGTCTTCCTTCACGCTTTTTACCTCGGCCACAGGATCCTGGACTATTTCTGGGGTAGGAGTCATGTGCTTACTCATTGACCAATCAGAGATGGTGTTTGAGCTCCACTGAGAGTTGATAGGATTAGCGGGAAACAAGACAGAATTTGCTTCCGGAGCTGCAGATTCTAAAGAATTGGTTTCCACGGGTTGAAACTCATAATAATCCCACTCCAGGCCACTGAAGGTCATTCTTCCTCTAATTCTCAGATATTACCATGCCATAAAATTCAGTATCTGCAGAATATGAAGTTAGAAGCAGATCTTTATAAAGTCAACATATGCGCTTCTATTCACCTCCCAGAGAGAGAACGGTTAAAGTGACAACCCCTCCACAGTTAGGTCCCGCTCTTCTTTAATGATAATAAAGCAATTTATTTGCATTCTTGTAGATATTCCAAAGCTGAATGTCAACAGGCATGGTGAATACTCAGGAAACAGGTGTCAAATCGGTCCTCTCTCTAGTTATCACGCTGTTGTTACACTGTCCAGTGTTTTATATCAGATGGAGAAGCAAGTATGCATTGTTTGAACAGAGCAGGAGAAGATGTAAAAACCCCCAATGGTTGAAACAAGAGCAGTGTGTTACCTAAACGCAGGGCTGGCTTTCCTTCTTCCCTGGCTCACAGGGCTGCGCTGTGAGAATTCATGCTTGTTCTGCTTCCTTTCCATCCCAGAAACACCAGCTTAGTGTCTGCCGCATGAGATCAAAGCAAGCCTCAAACTCAGGACCTGAGAACTGGTATTTGGTTGGGATAGGCTGGCATGCCTGGCACTGTGACCTCGCCACAGTGGCAAGCAGGAACTTTAATTATCAGCCGGGCAGTGGTGGCCCATGCCTTTAATCCCAGCACTTGGGAGGCAGAGGCAGGCAAATTTCTGAGTTCGAGGCCAGCCTGGTCTACAGAGTGAGTTCCAGGACAGCTAGGGCTACACAGAGAAACCCTGTCTCGAAAAACCAAAAAAAAAAAAAAAACAAAACAAAACAAAAAAAACAAAAACAAAAACAAAACAAAACAAAAAAAAACTTTAATTATCAAAGAGAAGCCTAGGTTATTCCAACATGCTGGTGCCAGCAACTTCCATTCCCCACTGTTCCTCTGACTGTTTATTTTCCTGTATTTTCCATCTGTTCTCTAAGGAGACAATATGGGTCAGAAATGTTACATTGGTTATAACATAGAAAAATAAAGTTTCATCACCCAAGGTGAAAAGCAAAAGCTTAAAGCTAGATCAGCATTTCTCAGAATAGCACCCTGAGTGACCCAGTAGGCTTCGATATAACCAGAGATTTATATGATATGCTGATAAATCCTCTGCCCATGCATAAAACCAGTCTACATGTCTGCTTGCCTGCCCATAGATAGGGTCTCACATATCCAAGGCTAGCCTCAAACCTACCATGCAGCTAAGTCATTTATGAATGTGTTTGTCAGATTTTAGGATTCTGTACAGAGTTTCAAGGGATATTCTAGCTAGTGCTGTTAAAAGTGAATCTGGAAGAAGTTATTACAAGGTCAGACTCTATGAGAAGCTGTTTTACTCACAGAACTTTTATTTGTTAGAATTCTACTGTGGTGAGTGTACTCAGTGGTTAGGAGTACTGTCTGCTCTATCAAAGGGTGTGAGCCTGATTCCCAACACCCAGAGATCTTACACGGCAGCTCACAACAATTTATTTGCATTCTTGTAGATATTCCAAAGCTTGCAAATAGAGTTTCAGGGAATCTGATGTCCTCTTCACCAGGCATCATGGTCCCAGATACACATGCAGGTAAAACACCCAGAATAACATAATTTAAAAACAAAAAAGAAGAAAGAATAGAGTTGAGACACTTTCTGAAAATAGTTCCCGATCACATTGCTATAGGGTTTTCTCCTGATAACTCACTGGAGGACAATCTAGACAGCCATTCCTCAGAGCCTCCACCTTCTCCAAAGACCCACGAGAACAGGGCTCTGTGCTGTGTGGCCCCACTTATCCAAAGCTCATAGATGCAGATCTGACACGTGATGGTGGAGGCCCCAGGGTGAGTCCTGTCCTGCACATCCCTGAGCTGATGGAGTCACATCTCAGTAATAGCACAGAACTCTTCTATAGGCCTTGATCCTGCATTCAAAATCCCTTTTCTCCTTTCAGTTAGAACAGAACTTCCAACTAAAGGAAACTAAGAGAAACTAAGATTAAAGGGGTGGGGCCTGGGGGGAGGGGAATGGGTTTGAGTGTCACCTTTGCTTCAGCAGTAAATGTGGTCAGTGGTCAGACACACATCTAACAGGTTTTTCCCACTGCCAGAATGTGTCCTTTGTTCTAAGACAGGGCATGAGTATGCTCTTAGAGACTTCACTCAAATGCTAATGGGGTGATAGGGAACTACAGTGGAAGAGTCTCCAGCAAACTAGTTTGCTGCTGAGAATGGGTCACCCAGCAGGTATTCCCAAGAACCCTTCTGCCAGCACAGGGATCAGGCTAGAGCCAAACCATTCTGGCATTCTTCCACCTTCCTCCTCATACTGCCAACATTGGCCCTGAGGGATGCTACTGCAGGCAAGCTCCCTGCCAGTCCTGCTCCGGAGGGAATGATGCTACTTACATCATCTTGTACATCGAGGTCACAGCCAGCCTTCAGCAAAATCTGCACCACAGAAAGATGACCCTTATTGGCAGCGAGGTGCAAGGGGGTCCGGCCATGCTGTTAATGCAAAAAAAAAAAAAAAAAAAAAAAAGATTGGTTTTTAGAACAAGATACCCCAAGCAGGCAGGACACTAAAGAAAAGATGACGCACCAGCTTTTAAGGACATCCCTGCCCCTAACCCAAGTTGTTCTTTTGCTCTGCAGGGGATTCTCAACCAATTTATTCAGAATTGAAGTTGCCTTGGTTAACTTTGGTCAGGGCTACATAGTGAGACCCTATCTCAAAACAACAACAACGTAAGCTTTTAAAAAAACAAGATTTCCCTTAGTGCATAATTTTTACGTCTTTTTTTTAAGATTTATTTATTTATCTATGTGAGTACACTGTTGTTCTCTTCAGACACACCAGAAGAGGTCATTGGATCCCATTATAGATGGTTGTGAGCTATCATGTGGTTGCTGGGAATTGAACTCAGGACCTCTGGAGGAGCGTGAGCCACCTCTCAAGCCTACATCTTATTCTTAAGCACCAAGAAAGTGGTGAAATGTGGGGTTTCCTGCCCTCCTGTTTTCCACTGGTGCAAATAACACAATGTGGTAAAGGGCTGTGACCAAGGATCTGAGAGGAACCTGGGTGGGAGACAGACAAACCTCAAATTCATTAACTCCTGAAGATCTAGTCAATAACTCCATCAACTTAAAAGCTAAATGGAAAAAGGCTCTTGGCTCCTTTTAAAGACAGATTTTAAAATTATGAAATCATTTAAAAATATAGTATATCAAGATCCACATACCTGCCAACTATTTAAAAAAAAAATACAGAAAAACCATTGATGTTCCTGTGACTGCCTTCCAGACCTCTCTGTGGCCCCCCCTAAAACTGACATTTCTTTTGAATTTGGCATTTATCTTTCCTTTTCCTTTAATTACACTGTCATTTCCTGTTTACTGCCAGAGGCAACATACAGATTATTGTTTCAAACCTATGTCAGGCATGTAAAGCAACAGAGTATCATTTGGCTTTTCTTCTTGTAATTTTGTTTGTTGTTGGGTTTTGGCTCAACAATCTATTATGGTGATGTTGTACACTGTTCCAGTCTGCTGTGAGGGCTAAAGTTATGTTTTAAAGTTGAAATTACTGTAAGAGATCTATAAACAAAAATGTCTCTAACCTATAAGTCCCACTTGCCCAAGGACGGGTAACTTCCTGGAATGCTGTGTCTGTTGTTTAGGGGGTAATAAGCCATGGGTTTTCACTTCTGTAAACAAGGTTGGCTGCCCTAAGTGCACAGGATGTGCTTGATCACAAGTAGGTCAGAGATACTCAGTCAGTAAGTACATCAGGATATATGCTTGCCCGATTTGACAAAAATGAGAACTATGTAGCCTTGTGGGTTTTGCCTTTACAAGCCTCTGACTAAAGTAATTTGGTGGCATACGCTGGAAATCCTGGGTATGGACCTGGTCAGTGTCCATGATCCTGGCTAGTATTTAATATTTGGCTTAAATCTTATAGTAGTGGTCTTATTCTTGTCCAGTAGGATTAACTCTACACTTCTCAGTGTTGTGGCTGAGTCACAGGGAAAATCATTCCCCTCTCTGTAGCTGTATTAAGCTTGAGGGATCCCATGGTACGTGATACCCAAAAGAAAGTGCACTTTGCTGAGTGTACATCAGCTTCTGTCCAGGGAACTAACATTGTCAAACTCCAGACTCTCCAGGCTCTCTCAGAGACATCCTGTTTGCTTTCAGGATGTTTGCCTTCTTTTACTATGAAGAAAAGTTTAAGGGACTATGGCATTTGAGGAAAAGAGACTTATGGGGGCCTTGTATCCAGCCTTTCTCACTAAGAACCCACTGCCTTTATTGATATTCTAGTGGGGTAAGCATGTTTATGATCTTGATAAAGCATCAGTTAGCCATGATAACTAACCGTGGAGAAAACCACAGACAAAAAAAGATCTTAATTCCTAGCCATGAAATCCAATCAAAACAGTAGAATGAGTCTGGAAGGAAAGAGGCCAGAGCTTGCTTTAAAATTAGAATTCTTAATTAAGGGACAAAGTTACTCCCAAGAATTAGGCTACAAAAAAACCTTTACAAAAAAGACAAGGTCATAAATGAGACAAAGGATTGACCTTTCTCTCTTCATCAAGTGTGACTTGACCTTGACTGTTTCTGAGAGGCACAGCGCCCAGATGGAGGAAAGTGACCAGGTTTTACTCACTGGGCTCAGGCTCAGGCTCAGGCTCCAACTGTCATTGTATGTCCTTATAAATGACCTCATATCTCGACACTGACTAAGGGACCTTCACTAAGTTTTCTAAGGCATTCTGAATCTCAGGATAGCTCATCATGGAGCTGAGGGAATGTGTGTGCTCTAAGGAAAGAGACACTGCAGTCAAACACAAGGGCCTTAAACAAGAAAAGAAAGCAGAGAACAGGCGTGGGGGACTGCCTGGAAAGGAGCTAGTCCCAGAGACACAGCCCAAGGAGCCCTGTGGACATTCCTGCCAGCACCTACCTATTTCTAATGGGCACGGAGGATACAAGGTTTGTCTAAGTGAGCACAGCCAGAAGGCAGAAGAAGGAACCGATGTGGTGGTTCCTCTGTGCAGCCTAATGTTTGTGTGAATGTCTGGCCCTAGGGTTCCTGTGCTACTGACCATCCTCGGTAGAATGGCCTTTGGGAAGGTGAACCGCACAACAGGACGAGTGTCTTGTAGATAGGGCAGGTGATGACACATTGCCACACAGGTGCTGACTCCCTGACTTGGATGTCACAATATCCGGAACTATGAGAAGCAAAGGTCTGCTGCTTGGGCAGCCAGCCTATAGCATCTTGTTTAAGACGCTGGAACAAACTAAGATGGGTTCAAACCAGATCACATGTGTGAGTACACCCAGAAATACAAACATAATGTCCCTGAATTGCAGACATGTCCTAATCCAAAGTCATCAGAGTCTTCTTGTTGAGAAGTAAAAGGCTAGAGCTATTGGACCCAGAGAGGTCCCAGTCAGATCCACCAATGCCTGGTGATTTTGTATAAGCCTGCTTTCTCATCTGTCAAACAGGAGTGAACTCCATACCCATTCACACTTGATATAAGAATGAAGTACAACCCTCCATCTAGTGTGAGGGTCCCTACTGCTGCTGTCTGTCAGCCCAACCCCTAAGCAAAGGAAATCCCCAACTGCCTTGCCTCTTGGACAGACACCCCTACACCTTTACCATAGCAAACTGTCATATGGGTTTGGATGAAGAGTCAGACTCTAATTTTCAAGGCTCCCACTCATCGGTCCCTCCTTCTAAGTCTGCTTCCATTTTGAAATCTGCTCTGAAGTTCCTGCTTTGTGTTTCTGCTTACAAAGCCCTCCTCTCTGGGAACTCCCTTCTCCAAACTCCTCCTCCTCTGTTTCCCGGCCATCTCCACATTCATGGCATTTGGTATTTTGTTAGAAAACAACCAAACATCCTGAATCCAGCTGGGGTGTGATCTCCTGAAAGAACTGTGCCTCCCATAAGTGATGAATTAAGTTGACCCTGGGTGGTGGGAAGGACATATGTAAGAGGCCCAGAACTCCTGTAGCACAGGGACACTGGAGAAAATTCCATGATACTGGTGTCTTAGGATTTTATTGCTATGAAGAGACACCATGATCATGTCAACTCTTACAAAGGCAAACATTTCATTGGGACTGGCTTACAGTTTCAGAGGTTTGGTCCATTATCATCATGGCAAGAAGCACATAGTTCTTGAGAGGTAGCTGAGAGTTCTACATTCAGATTAGCTGGCAGTATGAAGTGACTGTGAGCCAAGAGACCCGGATTGACCTTCTGAGACCTCAAAGTCCACCCCCCTAGTGACATACTTCCTCCAACAAGGGCACGTCTCCTAATAGTGCCACTCCTTATGAGTCCATGGGGGCCATTTTGATTCAAACTGCCCCAGCTAGATTGACTTTGAAACAAATGGAGACTGGAGGATGGACAAGCTCAGCTTCAAGGATGCCTCTGCCCTCGGGGACATGTCAGCTTCCTGAGCCACTTTAGCAGATGCAAGCACACAGCGGGTCTTCTCTGAGAAAGCTCTGGGCGCCTACCTACGCTCAGCTCCTTTGCTGGTCTCTGGGAGAGCACAGCATTAGCAAAAGCAGACTGAAGCGGTCAGGTGCTTTAGCACAGGAGGCTGTCCACCCCTGACAAACGAAGAAAGCAAGAAGCAGAAATGAGCTTTGTTTTCAGAACTTTCTGTCATGAAGAACAAGAATAGCGGGGGACCTTTCAGAGAGGAAGGCCCCAGTTCTCCCACCCAATGCACAGCATACCCCTGTCCTGATGTATGGACAAAGCAAAACACCCACCAGCTCCCTACAGGCAGGTTTACACAACCTAGGTCAAGATAAAACTGCTGCCATTTCTATGCCCCTAGGACTGGTGAGGGAGGAATCCTAAGCAGGAGAAAACACCGTATAGTACAAATGCTATGAAGAAGTGTTGATGCGTCAGTATCCTAGATTCTAACCTAGTTATCCCCAGACAAGCCTGACTCGGCCTAGACCATTGGGATCCACAGAGAACGACGAAGACAAGAGCAAAAAGACAGCGGCAGTAGATGCTTGCTACATGGAAGACATTGTTAAGAACCTCACACATGTTAGCTCATTCGGCCCTCCAACTTGATAATGTAAGGTAAACATTATCAAGCCCATTTTACAGATGAGGAAGCAAAGGCATAAAGAGACTTTCAGATGTCCTAGAAATAGACTCAGCCCTTAAATCCTCTGACTTAAGTCCCTGGTGCTCTGATTCACCCATACACTGCCCCTTTGTGTGTGTGTGTGTGTGTGTGTGTGTGTGTGTGTGTGTGCTTTCTATTGGTGTTATAAACACCATGACTAAAAGTAACTTTAAGAGTTTTTCTTACATTTCCATGCCAAAATCCATCATTAAGGCATGACAGAAACTTATAGGCAGGGACTGAAGTAGAGACCATGGAAGAATCCTGTTTATTGGCTTGTTCCTCATGGCTTGCTCAGCCTGCTGTCTTACACGC